AAGCTCAGGTTGGGGGTGGGGCAGGGCTTATTCTTTCTGTTAAGTGCTTAAAAACAGGGTCTAAGTGGGGGAGGATTTTGAAAGTAGTAATCAAGAATTATTTGACCCTTTGAGGAGCCTTCACTTCTGAGAGTTCATTTCTCACACTACCTTCTGAACTCATTACCTTAATTACACTGAGAAGTCTTCACTGGGACATCCCATTCAGTAGCACATGGGCACTGGTTCAGTGGTGAAATCAACTTTTAAACCATTAGTAAGATCCATACCCCACCCATCAGGGCTACAATTGGTCTGGTTCATCTGAGTTACACCCTTCGTGGACAGCTCATTGCATGTTCTTCCATGCTCTGTTAACTCCCGCCCACTTCATGGGTCCCGTGTTCAAAAATGGTGGCTATCTCTGCCCTTGGGGTGTGTCAGCTCATATTCAATAAGCTTATTAAGCAAGCACAGTGGAGAAAAGCCTTTGCCAGGTCAAGGCCCCTTCCTAGAACCTGGCTGGTTGCAACAGTTTAGCCTCTAGGGCTCTTCCTTGAGAACTAGTTGTTCACATAAAAGTTGGAAGTACTTTCTCATTGGTTGAGGGACTACCCACAAGATCTCAGAATTTCCTATCCTGCTAAGGAAGCCCACCTCCCTAAAATCTTTCTCACAGTGATTACATTATTTTCCAAATAACAAACAAAATGCAAGGTATAACTGATCAGCAGTCAAGTCTACCGACAGCTCTTAACAAGCAAGTGCTGTCACACATCGTAGGGAAGCACAGCATGCATTAGCAGAAATATGTGTGTGTGTGTGTGTGTGTGTGTAATGACTTGTTCACAATACAATATCATACTGTTACATGATATAATGTCATCAAAATTTCAATGCAGGAAAAAACTAATTTACAATAAATTATTAAATATAAGATTTTTTTAAAAGGTGGTGATGCAGTTTAGGGGTTCAGGGGTCCTGGGACCCCAAAATCACAACACTCAGGTCCTGTCCCAAAGAATTCAACCCAAGCCTTCTTTCAGCAAAAAAACAAGGTTTATTGAATATTCGCCATATTAGCCAGACTCTTAAGGAATATGAGCATCTGTGGGCTATTGGCTAGATTGTGAAAATCTGCATTGTGGCTAGATTTCAGGAATCCGAGCATCTTAATGGGGACAAGGTGGACCTTATACACAGAAAGACTGTGGGAGGGACCTAGGAGTGGCCAGTAAGCTGGGGTGAACAGAACTCCTGGGCCCTGGACCTCGTGGCCAAGGGAGACCTAGCTAGGATTAAGGGTGAGAAATGGCCAGGGGCCATAGGGAGGCAAGACAATGGAGGGGAGATTGGGTGTAGCCACAGTGAAAGGCCAGTTCATGGGATTATAGCCTCAAGAGAAAGCCAGAGATTTGGCCAAGTGGGAAAGTCCAGGGGTTTTCCTTTCTGGGGTCTAGATCCCAGTCCCATCAGCGGCAATAAGCAAATAAGTTTGGGAACCTCTGCTCTAGCTGATCCTCTACTTTTTCCAGTCTTTCCTCACATTCTTCTACAGCCTTCCCAAAGGCAATATGGTCAACGAAGAGGACCAGTCCCATTTCTCCACTTCTGACTCCCATAGCTGTGTATTTTACCGATTTCCCTCCCGAATTACAACTGTCTTTAGGAAATCTTCACCTGGGAATTGTTCAGCCACCCTGAGAACAGAAGCCACCATCTTCACCACTCAGCTCACTTCTCCTCCAAACTTCATACTTCAGAGGCTGAAATGACTAATCCAGGATATTCCTGAAGGGGAAGAGGAAGACTAACATGTGGCCTGGGCTGAGGAGCACGTCCAGAGACAGGGCAAGGGCAGTTTAACCCAGCCTGACCTTGGTGAATGGCTGACTCTTGTGTGGGTGTACGAGTGTCCAGTCTTTCTTAGCAAGCACTGGCTCCCTCAACAGGCCCCATGAGTAAGTCATACCTCCTTGTTAGGTGTTTGAGTAGCCAAAGGCTTTGGCCCTGCAGGGCCTGAGGACACTGCCCTGACTTGCTTTAGCCTTGGTGACATGTTGGAGAGGAGTGAGGAGGAGGACGTATGAATAAAGAGGAGAAGCAGAGGTTGGGGGGCATTCAGCCCCCTAATTCAGCCCTCTATGACTAAATAAGCATTGATAACTCTGCTCAATAAGTGGCTCCCTACTGATTCGAGGATAAAATACCAATGGCTCATATTGGTGTATAAAACCCTTCAGAGTCTGGCTTCCACCCACCTGAAAGACTGACTCATATTACTTCCTCTCCCCTACTCTCTGATCCAGGCAAGCAGGTACTGTTTCATTTCCTTTTTCCCTTCAAACTTTCCCTCATTTTAGCCTCATGCAATCTTCTGGCTTCTTCTTGGCTGAAAGACCACCTCCTCTAGGAAGTCTTTCCTGATTCTGCCAGTTGCCAGTACTTTCTCCCTCCAGAAATTACCTATATGTTGTTTCCCTCTTTCTACCCTGAGGAAGAAAAAAGAATAAGCATTTACATACCTTGGATACTCTCCTAAGCACTTTTAACAAATAGCTCATTTAATCCTTACCACAACCTAGTAAAGTAGGTGCTATTATTCCAGATTTTACAGATAAGGAAAACTGAGGCAAACATTGGTTAATGTTTGGGAGAAAGAGGTCTAGGGAGGATCTTGATGGGAGTGACTGGGAAGTCCAGAATGGGGACTAGGTAAGATCAAGGATGGGATTGTCTGCATTGTCATACAGAAAATGAAGGTTGGGCTTGGTTAAGGGTAAGAATTGGGAGACTGGGAATAGGAGATAATGAAAGGCCGGGTTGATAGGATTATAACTAGAGACTTCCTTGATCAAGTGGAGTTCAAGGGGAGTCCAAGGAGGGGTTTTCTAGGGCCTATAGACAAATGGGACCCAAATTCTTTTTGGGATAAGAGGCAAAGGTCTTGTCTTGGGCTCATACCCCATCAATACGATTGAAGATCCCAGTCTCATTTGGCCATGTCGTCCAGGTCCCCGGCATTTGACGTCCAGTCACACTAGCCTACTGGTCACCCTCATCAAGATCCTCTCTTGACCCCTCCTCCAGTCACTCCATACATTTGGCCATTCCTAGATCCCTCCCACAGTCTTTCTGTATATAAGATCCATCTTGTCTCCATTAAGGTGCTTAGATTCTTAAAATCTAGCCAATGGCTAAGATTCAGTCTAGCTTGCTTGTCAATACGAGGGTCACAAATGTTCAGATTCCTTAAAGGTCTGGCCAATATGGTAGATCTTTAATAAGCCTTGTCTTTGCTGAAAGAAGGCTTGGGCCAAATTCATTCAGGCAGGACCCATGTGTTGCTATTTTGGGGTCCCAGTACCCCCAAACCTCTAAACCTCAACAAGATGTGTTATGTAACTTGCTTGGAGCTGTGCAGGTAATAAAAGTGTTAGAACTGGGACCTGTGCCCAGGTCCTCTGATTGCACACTCAATGCTCTTTCCACTGGTCCACACTGGCCAGCTTCCTTAAGTGGGGGGGAGGGGGAAGACACTTTCAGACTCAGCTCAAACACCACCTTCTGCAGGAGGCTTTTCCCTGCCCCGCCCTCCTCCCTTTGAGATGAAGGTATTCTGTATACATGGCATCCCAAAAGTCTAAGTGTAATTTTAAGCTTTCCCTACCTATTTGCAAGGGATGGTTTCAGAGAAACCTGAGAAGACTTGTGTGACCTGATGCAAAGTGAAGTGAGCAGAACCAGAACAATCTATATAATAACAGCAACATTGTAAAGACAAGAACTCTGATCATAGAAATGACCAATCACAATTCCAGAGGACTCACAAAAAAAAAGACTACCATCTCCACATAGAGAGGCAACAGTCTCAGAGGGCAAAGGTGTATTTATTTTTAACCCGGCTAATGTGATCATTAGTTTTGCCTGACATGTATTCGTAACGGGTTTTTTTTTTTGCTTTTTGCTTTCTCAGTGGGTTGGAGGGAAAAATTAGGAATTGAAAATAAAGTAAAATTGAATTTAAAAAACTAAATGTCTGTTGGTTGACTCTCTCCCAACCTTTAAGTACAATTGGGCGGGTCTCTGCTGATACTTACAATCAAACCTGACCTCACCTGCTGATATTTACTATCAAACACGCGCTCATTTGCATCCCACAACAAACATCCAGGGTAGGTCGACTGCTTGGGGAATTATCCATTATCTATTGTATGGATCAGAAAACTGAAAGTCAGAGACTTGAAAGGAGCTTTGCGGGACAAAGAGGATCCCCAGGAAGCACAACCAAACATCGGGGCAGGAAGGAGGCTGGGGCTTCAGCACGTCGGGGGCCAAAGGGCACACAGCGTGCCCGCTGCATGTCAGCCCCGAGGCTGTCAATAAAGTTGGTTTTAAAGACAATCAGGAGACGCCTCCGGTAGCCAGGGAGAGAACTTGGAGCGCCAATCCCAGCCTCACGCTGGCTCTGGGGCCCCGCCCTTGCTCCGCCTCCAAGAGGGAAAGGAGGACAGCACGCGCACAGCTCGTCCTCCGATTGGACAGCTCCGAGGGCGGGGGCGGGGCCGACCCGTCCCCACGCTATGGTTCGCCGTTGGCATTAGGCCAATCCTCCGTCACCGGTAGAGGACACGAACAAGATGGCGGCAGGGCTGGTGCGAAGCGGGTTCGCCGGCTGCGGCCAGCAGGTAAGCGCAGCCCCGTCGACCCCCGCACTGGCCCCGGCCCCTCCGCCCCACTGATCCTCTTTTTTTCTCCCCGCCCGCCAGGTGTCCTGGCTGCTGAGGAGGCGCTTCCACCGCTCGGCGCCCGCGGCGCTGCAGGTAACGGGATGAGGAGGGAGGGGCGGTCGGGGTGCGGGGTAGGCCGGGACCGCGCTTGCGCACTGGGCCCCTGCGTCAGGGGGCGTGGGGGGGACGCGACCGGGCCGACCTCTGCTGCGCTCCCTCCCCGCCCCCGCCCTGGCCCCGCCTCAACGTCCTCGGGTAGTACGAGTGGAAGTCCGCTGAGGACAGGCTCTGCGGGAAGCGGCTGCAGGGCCTGGACCTCATCGGTGGGCGGGGCGGGGTGTCTTTGTCCTCAGCCTGCCTCTGGCACCGCGGGCTAGTCACCTTGCCCCTGTTTGGGCGCGCTAAGCAGCAGTCGAGGATCCCATGAGTGCTTAGCGCGGGCCGCATACAGAGGTGCTTAATAAATGCTCCTTCTTTCCCCTCCCCTTTCTCCCTCTAGCCTCCCCCAGGACTAGAACCCTGCACAAATGCAGAAGATGAGAATGAACAAGTTTAAAAGGTCCAATTAACCCCCGTGGCATCCACTTTTCCCCGTACCCCGCTAATCCAGTGGTCCTCGGCTGGACAAGGAAAGCAGACCCCGAGCCAGAGCCTCCTGGTCACAGCTGCTTCCCCCAGCCCCCACTCCTCCTTGGGGGTACTCAGTGACCCAGGGGAGGCCTGGGTGAGACCCACCTCCCCATTTTGAGTTCCTTTAGCGTGTGTCCCGCCAGCTGTAGGATGGAAGTTAAACTGCCCGCAGCCTTGTCATTGCACAAGCTTATAACCGGTTTAATCGCTTTAATTAAAAGCCAATGTTCTGCCCCGGATTGGGGCGGGGGAGAAGCTCCTGCTAGGCCCGATGCCAGGGATGACCCCAGATGGATGACGGCTCGTGGCCCCCAGAGCTTTGGGTGTGGCGCGGATTGTTGGTCGGGGCTTCTGCTTGGCCGAGGTCCAGGCTCTCGGGACGTCGCCTCGGTTGGCCTCGGTGGCAGGTTGGGGCTCGTGGCTCGCGGGGCTGGGTGGGCAGGAGAGGCGTGGGGGTCCCGGGCTGCTTCAGACCTAGTCTCCGCCCGTCCAACAGGTGACGGTGCGAGATGCTTTGAATCAGGCGATGGATGAAGAGTTGGAACGGGACGAGAAGGTCTTTCTGCTCGGAGAAGAAGTGGCGCAGTATGACGGTGCCTACAAGGTAATGTCCGTGGCCCCACGCGGAAAGTGGCCGGATCTCCCCGCGCGCTGCGGTAACTGGGTCTGACTTCTTATTGACACAGGTCAGCAGAGGCCTGTGGAAGAAGTATGGAGACAAGAGAATAATCGACACGCCGATATCCGAGGTGAGGCGAGGAGTGCGACCGCTGGGAGGTGGCAGCGTGCGCCGCGACCGCCTCTCCGGCCTTCTCCACTCATGCTCTGTTTTGCTTTTTCAGATGGGCTTTGCCGGGATTGCTGTGGGGGCAGCTATGGTATGTAGTAGGCATTTCTTAAAACTTGCCTAAATGGGTTTTTTTAACTTTGTCTTTTGAAAATTGCTTTAATGTAGTACAGCTGTGGTAGTTGATACTTTTTTTTCCTTTTAATTAAACTGCTTAGTTATGTTGGGTTTTTTTCCCCCCTAATTTAACAGGCTGGATTGAGGCCTATTTGTGAATTCATGACCTTCAATTTCTCTATGCAAGCAATTGACCAGGTTATAAACTCAGCTGCCAAGACTTACTATATGTCAGGTGGGCTTCAGCCTGTGCCCATTGTCTTCAGGGGACCTAATGGTGCTTCGGCTGGGGTGGCTGCCCAGCACTCGCAGTGTTTTGCAGCTTGGTATGGGCACTGTCCTGGATTAAAAGTGGTCAGTCCTTGGAGTGCAGAGGATTCAAAAGGACTTATGAAATCAGCAATCCGGGATGATAATCCAGGTGTGTCCTTTTTCATTCTGATTTACAGAGAATCTTAGAAATTATACAGTAAAATCGGCACATTTTACTGATGGAACTGAGTCCCTTTAACTGGTTTTAATCAGTTGATGTGAAGAGAGAAACTAGTTTTGGTTTTGGATCTTGATTTCTTCCTGTTCCAATGTGAATAACATCCTGATGCTCATTAAACAGAGAAAACAGCTGTTTGCACCTGCCCCGGCTTGTGATCCCTCGCATTTCTGAATTTCTGACATGCTTTAATTTTAATAAGCAGAAGAGTGGGATTAGCCAAGAGGAATGTCATGTAAATAAGCCGTTAAGCTCAGCTGTCTTTTCAAACTATGAACAATTGAGGTCCTCATATAAAACAGCTTTATTAAGTGAAACTTTTCTAGAAGTTAATGTCATTGATTTGTTCTAAAAATACATGATGAGTAAGTAGTCAGTCATCGTTAAAACTCCTTGATGCTTGTTTGAAACTAGCTGGAAACAAGACTTGGAATCCCTCAGGTCCCTGTAGGCCTCACATGGACTTAGAAAATCTCAATTAACATTCTCTGTTGTATTTTGTCAAACATTTCCCTGCACATTTTAGCCGGGCTCTGTCTGGGCTCCCCCTATCCTTTGTGGTGTCTCAGTTCTCCTAGGAAGGGGGGGGTGGGGCAGTGGGGTTTTCAGAAGAAATAACCTGGTGTGAGGAGGCCCAGGTGACTCCTGTCCCCTCCCCCTCCTGGGCTGGAATAGTAGACCGCCTTCTTATCTAGGTTTAATCCTGTTTGTTTTGTAGTTGTGGTGCTGGAAAATGAACTGATGTATGGAGTTCCTTTTGAATTTCCAGAGGAAGCTCAGTCAAAAGATTTCCTGATTCCTATTGGTAAAGCTAAAGTAGAACGGGAAGGTAAAAAACTCATACCATCCCTCCCAGATCCTGACCCTGATCCCCCTACCCCCATGAATAAAATTGCATGTAGATAAAAAAAGTGAAGCAATCATTTATTGGGGTAATTCTTTTGAATTTTCAGTAGAAAGATTCTAGGGCCCAAGCGTGGTTGTATTTTTATTTGAGGCTAAGTGGCACAGTGGAGAGAGCCTCCCGAAGACACTTATTAGCTGGGTCTGCCTGTTTCTTCAACTGTAAAATGAGGATTACAATAGCATCTACCTCCCTGGGTTGTTGTGAGGATCAAATGAAATACTGTAAAGCACTGCATATTAGTTATTATTTCTTGAACTAGTCAGCTTTTTCACTGCTTGAAATTAAGTAGATTTGAAAGAACTTTTATCCCAGGGACATTCCATTTTCAGGAAGCACATTATATTCCACATTGTACTAGACTTAACTTTCAGATATTAAAACAAACAAAAATTCCTAAAAGTTATAAGAGGTGAGATTTAAGTGACCTAATTCTTATCTATTGCTGCTTGATTTTAGGAACCCACATTACATTGGTTTCCCACTCACGACCTGTTGGCCATTGTCTGGAAGCTGCCGCTATACTGTCTAAAGAGGGAGTGGAATGTGAGGTAGGTTAATACCTGGGGTATTTTTGTTTGATTTATGTCTTTTTAATGCGTCACAATCATTTCCAGATGTCTCTTCCCCTACTTTTCCTTACCCAGCAAGCCATCTTTTGTAACAAAGATGTTAAAAGAGGGGGAAAAAGGCAGTTTAACAAAAGTGACCAGTGCTTCCCTTCATCTGTTAGTGTGTGCAGGCTTCCTCACCTGTTACCCCCGTCCCCCCAGCAGAGAGAGGAGGGTGTGCATGTCTCAGAACTCTCTGGGGAACCACACGTGGTCCCTGTCAGGATGCCGCCAGCTCTGTGTCTCCACATCTGTTACTGGTGTGGTCATCATGCCCACAGTTCTCCTGATTGTCCTTGCTTCTCTGCATCAGTCCATGTGGTTCTTTCTATGCGTATCTGAATTGATCATATTCATTGTTTTTTACAGCAAATACCCGCTTACTGTGCTCCTGCATTTTTGGGACCATGGTTTGGTTTTTTAAAGACTGAGTAGACTGAGGCATTAATGTAGGTGTTCAAGTTTGGAGCCCACCACAGAACAGGCATCATGGCACACCCACTGCCAGGCGTGGCTCGGATCCTCAGGGAGTAAAGGGACTGCTCTCAGCAGAAATCCCTTCCACGCTTATCTGACTGAAGACTGTGGAAGTCTTCCTTTAATTACAGGCATCCTCTCTAGAATTCCCTCCCATTTCTTCTAGTCAGAACCCTCTTGTCCATGACAGTAGTTGACTTCACTCTTGGTTCATCTTTCCATATTTTCCACCTCCAGCTCCTTCCAGCCCTGGGTGACTTGGTCCCTGTCTCTCACCCTTCTCCATTCACCTGCCCACCATTCAGCACATCAAGTTCTGTCTGGTCCTGGCCCCCATGGAGATGTGCCCCACAAGGATACCTAGTTGTGTCCTTCCCCTTCTCTTGGACTTAGCGGGAGAGGCCCCCTACCGAAAGGAGCCTGGCCAGCTTCCCTGGGGAACAGGTCCTATTGGCCCCTCTAATCACCTGGAACCCTCTTACTCCCAGGCCTCTGGGGAAATGGGTCGTTGGCCCTCACTTCTCTTTGCCCTGATCCTCTGCTGTTCTTGGCATCCTTGCTTATGCTGCCCAGGTAATTGGCTGGTCTGTTGATTCCATCCTTCCCCACCATAAGGATCTCAGAGCCTCTGGCCCATCCCCCTCATTTTGAAGAGGTGGTCCCCGTCTCTGCCTTTTCGTCTGGGTGTATCCCAAAAACGCAGCCCTGTGCCCGGGGCCTTCAGGTGCCCTTATTGTTCAGGCTTTGAAGTAATGGTGCGCTAATGGTGTGCCTAGTTCTCCTGAACTAGGATGGAATGGAATTGCAATGAGCTTGCTTTGTGGAGTTCTGTTTCCTTTCTTGTAAAATGGGCACAGTACTCTCAGAACCCCTCTTGGAGAGGCGTGAGGATGAAATGAGAACATCTCAAGTGTTTGGCACATGGCAGAATACTCTCAAAGTGTCTGTTGCTATTTGTCTGTGGACTTGAAGTGGGAGTGGGAGGAAGCTGTTGGGTCAGGGGCAGTCACAGTTTGGCTTCTGCACTTTGTAGCTGAGCTACAATGTGAGCAAATTAAGCTTTTAATAATAAAATAAGGTCGCATTGGGAAGAACCCAAACAAGGATGTTGAATTTATGACAACTCAAAATGAAAAGATCATCATGTGTTTTAGGTGATCAACCTGCGTACCATTAGACCGATGGACATTGAGACCATTGAGCTCAGCGTGATGAAGACCAATCACCTGGTGACCATCGAAGGAGGCTGGCCCCAGTTTGGGGTGGGAGCTGAGATCTGTGCCAGGATCATGGAAGGTATTCAGACACTTGAGCACTGGACGGTGGCATGGCTGGGATGGCATCTGACTGCCCGTGGCACCCGTGCCTGGAGTGCTGTCTCCTGCCCAGGCTCACCATGGGTGACCCACCTCACCCCCACCCCCCCAGCAGAAAAATGGAAACTCCTCGGGAAGAAGAACTGTGTTGGGTTTTGTATCTCTCCCATAGGGAGTAGGTGTTTAATCAATGATTGCTGAATTTAGATACCTCTCAGAAAGCAGGATACAGTGAGACTGGGGAGCATCGCCAGATGCTTCAAGCTTCCAGTTTAGGCAGGAAAATGAGGTGGCAGAACCTGTCCTGTAACTTCAATCCCAGTTGACTTTATCTGGTCACGCCTTCATGCATCTGTTCCATTGTTTCAGGTCCTGCATTTAACTTCCTTGATGCTCCTGCTGTCCGAGTCACCGGGGCTGATGTTCCTATGCCTTATGCAAAGATCCTGGAAGAAAACTGCATCCCTCAAGTCAAGGACATCATCTTTGCAGCCAAGAAAACACTGAATATCTAATTTGTACTTGACGTTGAAGTCCCTGGGATTTCTTGCGTGTAATTATTGCTTCAGAGGTTAGGATGCCTGTCGGTTCACATGCGTAATTGTACCGGTCTGGAGCCACAAGGCCTCTGGGTACCATTTTGTGTGGGGGACAGCATCAAAGCACTTGGGGTCATCTCAGTCCTGAGACCTTCACCCTTTTGTGTCTCTTACAGTTAAGCTATTTCTGCTCCAAAGAAAACGATTCAGTAGAATGTTTCTGCCTCCGTTACCAACAGGACGATGCATTGGGGGCTTTGAAGGAACCCCGGCCAAGGATCTGCCTGACAGTTAACTTCTCTGTACAGAGGGAAGGCGTGATCTGCCTCAATTAAGTTCTCTTTTGATGAGGAATAAATGCCTTCTGGTTCCAGTCACTGGTGGTGTCTTGGTGATTATTCGGTCCCAAATTACTGCACAGGGACTAGGAGAATTTTCAGTGTTTTGGGAGATAAAGAAAGAAGAACCAGGCCAGGGATGGGGGTCAGGAAGTCGAGAGCCAACACTTCCCAGAATTGTGTAACTTAAAGGGATCCCTCCCTTAAGTCAAAAACAAACTGTTAACTAGGCCTAAATTCCTAGAAGGGGTAAGGCAAGCTTACTAATTATGAGCAGACTCACAAGTCTCTTTACGTTAAGATTCCCAACAAACAGCAGAACAAATCAGAATTGCCTAAAATAACACCTCCTTTTGGAGAAAGGCTAGACTGGATGGCCTCTAAGTCTACCTCTAGTGGCCCTTAAATCCCAGGATCCTACATATATGGAAAAAGAGAAGGTGACAGAGTTTGTGCTAGAAAGTGGGCAGCAGCTTAGGGAGAGAAGACCCCATTTTCCCCCAACACAGAGACAGTTGGTTTCCAAAATGCTTCCTCTGCCTTAAAGCTGCTCCCAACTCATCTGTCTTGCGTTTTGCCAGAGCAAGGCAATGTTAGTATTTTTGACATTGTGTTAGAAATGCTAAAAACATCTACTTCCAGAACTGTCCTTCCCAGGAATTCCTAAAACAAGCATGTACATTGAAGCCATATTGAAATGTGAAAAAGGAAGATCTTGCTTACAGTAGGAGTTAGCTTTTATTAATAAAGAAATGACAGGAAAATAGGACATGAAAAAGGAAAACTAAAATTTAGAAAAAAATACTGTACAAATCTCTCCACTTTTACTAAATGGTGTCTCCAAGAATCCTTAAGGTATAGTGTCTTGAAATACCTAGTTCATCTATGTAGACAAGTTTCCTTGACATGGTTTATTACTTTAATAAAAAATACAACTGAATATATATCACAGGTTACATGAAACTATACACAATGACATTCTCTGCATAGTAACAAACACTGATGTATACTTGAATTCAAAAATGGATTATCTATAATCTTTTAAAGTGCAATTTGTTTAAAGGTTTAAGCAAATCATAAAATAAAGGATCTTTTCAAATAAATCAATAACATTAAGAATACGTAAGATGTATTTATGTTCAGTTTTTCCAAGACGGTCATTTCTTAAAGATGTTAAATTTGTTTGTGTTGCAAGAAACCCTGCCTTGTCTTCAGCTGATTCAGGGTAAAATGTTAGAAGTATATCTGATGAGTCCCATCAATGTTCTGCCTTGTTCCTTTTCCAAAAGATCCTAATTAGAAAGTGGCAATTTGGGGGTCTGGAGGGGCTGTTTGAACAACCCCAAATCCTCGGAAGTGTCCCTGCTAGAACTCAGAAGACATCCACCATTTTCCAAGTTATTTTGGGGCCAATCAAAAGCTCAGATTATTTTCTAAACCCAGCCGCAGGCTGTGCTTTGGGCCAAGTGATCTTATGAAAATAGCAGAGATGAAGCTGAATCAACAAAACGGAAGGCATCTCTGAGAGCTTGGAAAGTACTCTGGGACAGACGATATTCACTGCACCTCGGAGGAAGGTGGGACCACAACACAGAGTACACTTGCTGCCATGATCAGAGTACTGTCACTGTTGCCCTGCTTTCTAATTCGGTTGGTAGAAAGAACTACTGATGACTCAAGGATGCCAGAGACAAAAGCGAGGTTGCCATTCACACCAACTCCTTGCCGCATCACTGCCCTCTTGGAAAGATGCTTGGTGGTCATCTGCACAGTGCCCCCCTCCTGGCTCGTCAGTCATTCTACCTGCAAGTGTGGGAGTGCGCAGGGGGGTGTCAAAGGGGAAAACTAAAGATGGCAGCCAACTGGAAACAGTCCACTTCAGTAGATCCTTGGGGCACTGTGATCACAGGTTTCGGCTTTCTTCAGAGTACCTTTTTGAAAATTTTGAATGGAGCTGAGTAAGGCTCCTCGGCTGGTACCGTTCACAGACGGAGGCGGAAAAAGTGATGGTGTTGGTGCATTCATGGGGGGAGGCGCTGGAGCCCCCGGGGGAGGTGCAGGTGGTGGCAGTAATGCCGATACGCCTGAGGAGGTAAAGAAATGACAGTCAATAATAGGTCAGAGCTCACCAGTGGCATGAATGGTCAGGCTGCAGCCACTCCCCAAGAAGGATGTGTTACAGCCGACATGGTGAACATGATGGAAGGGTGGTGGGGAGAGAGCTGGTCGAGTCAGGAAGGCCTGGGTTCTAGTCCTGCCTATGCCCCATAATGGCTGGCTGTGTGACCCTGGACAAGTCACCTAACCTAGTGCCTCTAACTACTCTCCAAGACTCTAAGGTGCAGAGATGGCTCTGATCTGTCTGCACATCTACCAATCCAATTACAAGTATGGTAAATGTGCGCGCACACACACACACACACACACACGTAATTCACAGGATCATGGATCATAGACCCAGAGCTGGAAGGGCCATCAGAGGCCATCTAGTCCAACCCTGTCATTTTACAGATGAGGAAACTGAGGCCAGGAAGATTAAAGGAACATGTGAATCAGTCAATGCCAAGACTGACCATCACCAAAGGGGAACCCCCTTTGACAATTTCCAATGCCTCTGCTAAACACAATCCAGTCTACAGAGGTCATTTCTGTGCTCTGGAGGCAGTCCCTGAAGGATGTCAATGTGGCACAGTGCACAAGACACCCGAATTCAGCTTTAGGCACTTACTAGTTGTGTGATCCTGGGCAAGCCTGCCTCAGTTTCCTCATACGTAAAATGGGGATGATAATGTTTGTAAACTTTAGAGCACTGTCACGTCAATGCTAGCTATTATGATTTTCAGGACTGGCATCTTTATACTTCAGTGTAGGTTGGTGGCTGGTGACAATCACTGTCTAAAAAGGCACTCTGACAGCTTTGCTGGGGTACGGGGGAGACACGTGGTAGGTCTGTCACGTCACTGACATAGGGAGCTTCCAGCAAGGAAATGTCCCTCTATCGATAGGCAACTTTACCACGACTCCTAAAAAGTGCCCAACCTGCCCCATAACACAAAGTGTCAACCCCCGCAGCATTCTCAGCTAGTTAAACCAGACCTACAGGAAGCCTCTTGGGGATAATCATACTACATTTTGTCATTCTGGAGGAAAGGGGGCTGGTTTTTGCTTTGTTAAAAATTATTTTTTCAATGATTGAGCATTTATTTTTTTCTCCCTCAGAAGCCAAGCCCTTGTAAGACATCCCCATAACAAAGCAACATAATAGCCTATTTCTGAACGGTGCCTCTAGCCAGGAGGGCCGTGCACACAGCCAGCTGGATAGCGCTTCTCCCTCCTCAGAGGAGGCTTGTTGGCCTGCTGGAAGGGGGACTCTGTCAGATGCCAGGTGTCCCTTTGGGTCACTGGAGGACCGGACCTTAGCACCAAATAACGTAGGAATGAGAGGGATTCTGCAGTCAATGTCAAAAAAAGGGCTCTGGGGGTCTGCAGTTTCTTGAAGTATTGAGGGGTTCCTGTTATACACTAAACATCTTTTCCCACTCAGAACAAAATCAGCAAATGCAGGAAAACCCTCCAATAAAGCACAGGGCAATGCCCTGGATTCAGTGGTATTGTGGGTCAGGCTGTCCTTGGTGCATACCCACATGTAAAATACACAGAGAGGCCCACAATGGCGGCATGAACCTCTTCCCCCAACCCTGGGAAGGCACGGAAGCAGGGAATGGGAGAATTTTTCCCATTTCTGCCTGACTGCAATTGAGACCTAATAATGTAGGACCAAAGGTGTGACTGTGGAATGCAGACAGATGAGGACTCCAGCGGGACTCGGGAGACAAGGGCCAGCAAGCATAGGGCATGGGGCTAGCAACACGCAACAGCTCCCACCTGGGAAGCACTCACCTTGAGTGACGTCATTTACCCACAACACGGCTGAAATGAAAGAATCACACGTGAATGCACCCTCTTGCTTCCTCGTGTCTATCTGCATGCCCAGCATTTAGGACAGTACCTGGCACCAGGTAAGTCCTTAATAAATGCACTACCTATTATCTACCTATCTCTGTATCTCTCACTATCCATCTACTATCTGGCTCTGGGCACTCTCTCTGGCTCTCCCTTCTGCCTGGACCACTCTCACCTGCCCCTGCGTCTAGAACTCTCCAGCTTCCTTTAAGTTCCAACTAAAATCTCACCTACCTTCTGCAGGAAACCTTCCCCACCCCCTCTTAGTTATTTCCATTTTATCCAGGGTATAGCTTGTTGGCATATATCTGTTTGCTGCCTTCCTCATTAAACTATAAACTCCTGGGGGGCAGGATCTGTCTTGGGCCTCTTTTTGCACCGCCATGCTTAGCTCAGTGCCTGATGGACCGGTGTTATCCCCATCTGTCTCTATCTATTCATGTAATGATAATGCTTTGAGACAAAGACAAACTCAAATCCAGTACCACTGTTTCTAGACAACAGATAAGTGATGAATGAGGAATGAAATGTCGCCATGTTTGATGGGAAGTGGCCCAGGGAAGAAGCTACCCTGCTTCTACAGGGGGTTCAAACTCATGGACGCTTTACTGCTGCACTCCAACTTTTGGGACATCAAACGGTTACTACTGAAATGGGCTTTTTAACCAGGTGAGAAGGTCCAGCTGGGCACAACGGAGAATAGGCCTGGCCAGAGCCTGGGAAATGTGGTCTCAAAGCTACTCCTCTCTGACATGCAACCCTGGCCACGAGGGACTTACTCATCTGCATCCCTAATGGGGAATCCACATAGGAGAAAACAGGTCCCCCAGATAGGCCCTCCATCCCCCACTACCGAGGGCCTTCAGATCTTTTTCAAAGACTCAGCAGGTACAGATTTGCTGAGGGAGGCAGAGCAACCCTTCATGGCTCATGTCCTGCCCAGCTTGTCTAAGTGGATCTGTCCAGCAGGACCATAAGCCTACCAGGCCCCCTGGGAGCCCACTCTGGCCCTCAGCAGGGCTTAGTGCCCACGGAGCCACCAGTGACTGGCTTTCACATTTGCAGCCCAGGCTAAG